AGTTGGAGGTTGCTGTGAGCTGTAATGCCACGGCATTCTGCCCAGGGGGACAGCTTGAGGCTCTGTCTCAAAAAAAGAAAAGAAAAAAGAAAAGAAAAAGAAAAAATCTCTCCACTAAATTTTTATATTAATAGACACAGATTAAAACACATCCAGGGTGCCACCTGTGGCTCAAAGGAGTAGGGCACCAACCCCATATGCTGGAGGTGGCAGGTTCAAACCCAGCCCCAGCCAAACAATTGCAAAAAAAAAAAACACACACACACATCCAGTGTGTTAAATCAGTGAGTGCAGGGTGGCACCTGTGGTTCAGTGGGTAGGGTGCCAGCCCCATATACCAAAGGTGGCGGATTCAAACCCAGCCCCAGCCAAACTGCAACAAAAAAATACCCAGGCGTTGTGATGGGCGCCTGTCGTCTCAGCTACTCAGGAGGCTGAGGCAAGAAAATCACCTAAGCCCAGGAGTTGGAGGTTGCTGTGAGCTGTGATGCCACAGCACTCTACTAAGGACAATAAAGTGAGACTCTCTCTTAAAAAAAAAAAAATCAGTTCATAATGCTATAACAGCAATAAGAACTAATTTGTTTTGCTGCTTTCCAAGATGCTAGGGAATAAACTTCTTTTTTAATTTATTGTATTTTTTTATGAATTTGCTAAGGAAGAAATCATTTTAATTCCAAATGTACATAAGGGAAAGAATCAAATATGTGTCCTGCTTTTCCCAAACAAACTGTAGCCAAATAGTTTGAGGTAACATTTTTTTTTTATTTGTTCTTGAGACAGAGTCTCGCTATGTTGCCCTAAATAGAGAGCTGTGGCATCACAGCTCACAGCAACATCCAACTCTTGGGCGTAAGCAATTCTCTTGTCTCAGCCTCCTAAGTAGCTGGGACTACAGACGCCTGCCACAATGCCCTGCTATTTTTTTGTTGTTGCAGTTGTCATTGTTTTAGCTGGCCCTGCCAGGTTGGAACCCACCAGCCTCATTGTATGTGGCTGGCGTCCCACCCACTGAGCTATGGGCACCACCCTATTTGAGGTAACTTTTTTAGAAGAATTTCAGGTGTATGAGACTTAGAATGTTATTGCTTTGCCAACCCTACTGAAAGAATTCATTTATTGTTTGTTTGTTTAATATGGATTTGAACAATATTCCTCAGTGGCTGCTAAAGCTGTGAGGTGAAACTCTGACAGGGAACTTTACAATGACTGAATCAAGCTGATGACTAAACCCACAGAACATTTTAAAAGAAACAGTCTGTTAGTGCAATAGTGTGAGACACCCATCTCATGAAGTATTAACTTGCTTCCTCTAAAACCTAAATCTGAACTTTATAAAAAATATGAGCTAGCCAGGCATTGTGGTGGGCACCTGTAGTCCCAGCTAGTTGGGAGACTGAGGCAAGAGAATCGCTTAAGCCCAAGAGTTGGAGGTTACTGTGAGCTGTGATGCCACGGCACTCTACCAAGGACAACATAGTGGGACTGTGTCTCAAAAAAAAAAATATATATATATATATGAAGGATACAATCATCAGAATCCAGAACGTGGTAAACTATAGAACAGATAAACCACATACAAATGGCAGAAAATAAAAAGAATGTAGGACAAGTTAAAATTGACTTTAAGAAATTTATCATAGGCTCGGTGCCTATGGCTCAAGCGGCTAAGGCGCCAGCCACATACACCTAAGGTGGCAGGTTAGAATCCAGCCCGGGCCCCCAAACAACAGTGACGGCTGCAACCAAAAAAATAGCCAGGCGTTGTGGCAGGCACCTGTGGTCCCAGCTACTTGGGAGGCTGAGGCAAGAGACTCGCTTAAGCTCATGAGTTGGAGGTTGCTGTGAGCTGTGATGCCAGGGCACTCTACCCAGGGGGACAGGACAGCTTCAGGCTCTGTCTCAAAAAAAAAGAAAAAAAAGAAAGAAAAGAAATTTATCATAGGCTTGGCACCTGTAGCTCAGCAGCTAATGCGCCAACCACAAACACCAGAGCTGGTGGGTTCAAATCCAGCCCAGGCCCTGCAAACAATGACAACTACAGCCAAAAAATAGCCAGGCATTGTGGTAGGTGCCTGTAGTCCCAGCTACTTGGTAGGCTGAAGCAAGAGAATCACTTAAGCCCAAGAGTTGGAGGTTGCTATGAGCCGTGACGCTATGGCACTCTACTTAGGGCAACAGTTTGAGACGCTGTCCCAAAATAAATAAACAAACAAACAAGCAATCTAATGTAAATGTCTTCAAAAAAAAAA